ACCCTTTGTGGCCACACAGAGCAAAGGTCTGTAGGCAAGGCCCAATTCTACTTCCAAAGTTTGAAAATAGTGCTTCTGGACCCATGTCTCTTTCTTTTCTCTACTTGCTTTTTCTCCTCCACAGGGCTTATGTTCCCTAGTCCTGCCAATCATTCCTTTTTAAAAAAAATTTTTTTAAGATGTTGATGGATCTTTATTTTATTCACTTATTTATATGTGGTGCTGAGAATCGAACCCAGTGCCTCACACATGCTAGCAAGTGCTCTACCACTGAGCCACAATCCCAGGCCCTACCAATCATTCTTTATATGACATGGAATCAATATAATCTTAATAACAGGGGAAATTTGCTGTGTGTTTGCCCTGTGCTAGGTACTGTGGTAAGAAGCTCCCTACATGGATTGTCTTCTTTGCTACTCTCAGCCTCCCTATGAGGTGGCTACTGTCATGGTCCTCACTTTATGAGTCAGAACATCAAGACAGGAGCAAGAGATCAGAGCTCATCAGGAAACACACAGGCAAGAGCAGAGACTTGGGCCCAGGCAGTGCAACCCAGAGCTTGTGCTCTTCGCTCTGGTGCTTGAATATGTCACAACCTTTTCTGTGTAGTGCTAAAAATAAGCCCATGCTACACCAGGCTTGAGCTGGCCCTGCTTTAACTTATTTTGCAAGAAATCATTTGACAGGAGCCTGAGTTGAACCATTTTCCATGAAACCTCTTCAGAGTTTATTTTGACAGAATGGACTACAGGGCAGAGGCCTCTGCACTATAACCAGCAAATGGGCTTATCCTGGCTCTGCCAGGCCCCTCGGGGCTCCTGAAGTCGTGGGATTAGATCAAGGTGACAAATGCAGGCTATTAATATTTTCTTTTCCCGAACAAGATGCCTGATGCAATAGATTTCTTAAAGTTTCTAGTCATGGCTTTAGGGCCTGAAAGTAGAGGGAGAGAGGTGCCTACGAATTGCAGAACTAGATTGCTTCTTCAAACACTGAATGCAGAATTCAGTCTCACAGAACCACCCCAACCATAATGGGCAGAAGGATGTGCTGAACATCTGCCCTCCAAAGCTGGGATGTAGATGCCAAATGTGATGGCTCTGGCCAGCCCCGCTGAGAATAGGGAAAGATGATTCCTGACTTCTTCCAAATCAGGGATGCGTGGGCCGGAGGACTGAGAAACTGGGATTAAACCATCTTTCTCTTTGTGAGTTGCTTTTCAGATATCATACACCCCAGTCACTATTTTCTAGAAATTTAAGCGGTAAAGTGAGGGACCTGGTCCCTGAGGTATGGGCCCAGACACTTGGAGAAAAATCACCTTGAAGTAATAGAAAAAGCCCTGGATAAAATCTGCCTCTGTCATTACTGAAATGGGGCCCTGAGCAGTGACCTAAACTCCCTGAAATGTTGTGTCTTTATCTGAGAAAAAAATGGGGGTGATAATAACTCCAACCCACAAGGTTGGTAGAAAGATTAGGTGAGACCCTGCATGGGTGTAACAGAAAGCACTTGGCACAATGTCTAGCGGTGATAAACATCAGTATTAACATAGCAATTTCCTTCTTCCTCCACTATTCCTTCTCCTTTCCTATTCCTGCCCGCCACTGATAAACTATAAAGCTTTGGGTAAATATCTTAACCTCTCTGCCTTTTTTGCCTGTAGAAGGCTGACTAAGGCTACTGGTTCTGAGTGAGTATATAGCGCCCTCTACAGGATATCTGGGTGATTGTCACAGTGACCCAGACAGGACTTCTGTACAGGAAAGGATAAGGATGCTAGTAGATGTAATGCTTGGGGAACAAAGAACTTTCTATCTACATAATTGCCTAATGTTCAGTTGACATTCATGTACGTAAAACCCTGTTTGTTGTGATCACAGCCTGAAATCTGACTCTATTTTACACATAAACAGTTTTTGCATGTTTTGTTGTATACTCAATTTTCCAGGTATACAACTACCAAGTATATGACAACCTATTTGTTATAAAAAGGTGCAGTATTTCACTGTATCATGAATAATGACTTCTGGTGGACAGTGCCCCAACATTTACATATAATCTTATTTTAACCAACTTTAATTCGTTTCTTCTTTGTATAGTTAGGGCATTATATTGTTTGGTTTTGAAGTTATAAGTGTGGGCAAGTTATGTTATTGACCAATTTCATTTTAAGAGAGTGAAAGGCATGTTAAAAATATTCATATGGCATCTTTTGAAAGTATGGGGGAGGGCATATGAGTGTGTGTGTGTGTGTGTGTGTGTGTGCGCGCGCGCGTGCGCACATGCATGTGTGTTAGTTTATAAATTAGCTGGAGGAACCTTAAGTCAGACTTGAAATAAAAAGAAATGGTTTTATTTTCCTTAGAGAGATGTTCTTTTACATAAGGATATGTAGTAAATGTCAGAAATTTTAACTGCATCTATTGATTGTCAGAAAAATAAGGTATTCCGCTGTTCCCTGTCCCTTTTAAAAAACACAAACCTAGAGTCTAAAACAGTTTTGTCTTCAGCTTTTTCATCTTTGCCCTCTGTTCTTTTCATCACTCTGCCTGTACATACATATATTTTTAAAACATCCATGTGTAAATTTTTTTTCAGAGAGGTTCCTAAACCAGATGAGTTCCCTGCTCTTTCCTAAGTTTGCTTTGGTTGTTTTGCCTGACACTTGGTCTGAGTCAGCCTGGCTCTGAAAGCTGTAAGCAGGCCTGAAAACCAGGCAGCAATGGGCTTCTCAGGGACCTCCACACCAACTCAAAGGCCAAACCTGGGGGCTGAAGTGGGCCTCCCATAGGCTTTCTGCTCCATGCTTGGGCTTCCACCTGTCCACAAGACCCCAAGGACTCTCCAGGAAAACCAGGGGGTCTGGCATCCAGAAGGATCCCCAGGAGGGAGCAGCTGTCACTAGGGGGCTTGCTGCCAGCATGCCTGGCCCAAGCAGCAGTGCTTGGCTCCCCTTGCATGGGCATCTTGTGTAGCCAGTCATCCAGAACCAATCATAGCACCTAAGAACCAACACGTTTTGAATAGACATGAGGGTGATGGCGCCAGTTGTGAAATGTGGCTTTGGTGGTAATGTGTGTGCAGTCAGTATGAAGTCCCTCAATGCTTCTTTTTTTAATATTTATTTTTTAGGTGTAGATGCACACAACACAATGACTTTATTTTTATATGGTGCTGAGAATCGAACCCGGGTCCCGCCCGTGCTAGGCGAGCACTCTACCGCTGAGCCACAATCCCAGCCCTCAATGCTTCTTTTATTATAAATTTGTCAAGGACTTGGTCTAGAATAGCTGGTGTTTGAAGATTTCCCTGTTCTTTGTTATTCATGTCTTTTAAAACTGGTTGTCTTTTGTATGATGTTGATATGGTTACAACAAATTTCAATACTTAATAGAGAGGCTTACAGTTCTGCTGAGTCCAAAAGTGATACATGCTCATTAGGAAAAGTTTGAAATGAATAGTAAAACCAAAAGATGAAAATCAATACTCATTGTCTCAGCCCTAAAGACAGCTACTGTTAACATTTTGGTTTACTTCCTTATAATCCTTTTTGTTTTTGTTAAATTTTATTACATAAATAACTCATGTTCACTTTAGAAAAAGATGGAAAATTGAGGCATGGTAATAAAACAACAGTGACCCATTACACCAATTGGAGACAGTAGTCTTATTCTGGTGAATTTTCTCTTTATCTTTTTTTCCTGTAGGAATATTGTATACATAATCATGTGTCCTTTTTCACCTAATATTTTTTTTTCAAGAATATCTCCCATCTTGTCCTATATTATTAAGTATAATTTGAGTGGTTATATAGTATTTCATCTTAATATACCCATAATTTATTTGTAAATCCTTTCTAGGGGAACATTTAGATGTTTTTGATTATCCCCTATTACAGTGTTATAAGAAAATTCCTGTATATATTCATTGATAAGTATTTGTCAATATAGGTTAATATAGATAGATAGCTATTAAATAAATACTGTGTAACAGGTGGTAACTTTCACATAATATTTAGCTTAATTTTACCCATGAAATTACACTGACAAAAAGGATAAACATTTTTAAAGCTTTTAATAAATAATGCCAAATTTCTTTCAGGAAATTTGTACCAGTTTATATTCTGATTTACAGTGATTGACCTGTACATTTACTAGACCTTCACTAATATTGATTTTAATCTTTAAAATGTAATCTTTGCTAATATGAGCAGTGAAAGTTGCATCTCATTACTTTTTTTTTTTTTTTTGAGGGTATTAGACTCAGAGGCACTTGACCACTGAGTCACATCCCCAGCCCTATTTTGTATGTTATTTAGAGACAGGGTCTCATTGAATTCCTTAGAGCCTTACTTTTGCTGAGGCTGGCTTTGAGCTCGTGATCCTCCTGCCTCAGCCTCTTGAGCCCCTGGGATTACAGGTGTGTGCCACCGCCCCTGGCTTCATTATTACATTTTGATCATGGTGAGGTTGATCCTGTTGTCATATACTTCTTTGTCTTTGTGTTTCATCTTTTGGTGATTTCCTGTTCAAATTCTCTGCTTGTGTTCCACTGAGCATCTGCCTTGTATTGCTTCATGAGAGGTTTGGGTCTGGATTTGGTTGGAGCTTGTTTTCTTGCAGAAAGGATGTCTCTCCTTCCCCTGTACAGAGCTCTGGAGTCCATCAGACCTGGGTTTCAATCCTGTCTCTCCCCATCATGGGCTGAACAATCGCATGTGGTTCCCTGATCTCTCAGAATTAATTCTTCGAGAACTAAATGAAACATCCCTCACCTGCACAAAATAAAAGCCGGGTGTGTGATTTCTGCTGCTACAGTTTTGGTGTTATTTTTGTTGTGACCCTGCACTGAATATTTTTTCAGAAAAAGATTATCTCACACTGTACAACTAAGGTTTGTTCAGATCCTAAAGCCTGTAAAACTTGCCTGCAGTAACCAAAGCTCAGAAAAACGAAGTGAAATCACTTAAGTTTTTATTATTATTATTTCTCATGTAGGAAAAAGATACATGAAAGGAAACAAGCCATTTCCCTTTTATTTAAGAGGAATCTGTAGGACTGTTCCTGGAGTCAGGACACAACTCAGACCAGCATCTTCGACCTGGGACACAGGAAGACCCTGAGACACATCACAAGGTGAATCATCTTGCTCACACTGTGCTTGCCAGGGCAGGCCAGTGGACAAGTCCATTTGAGAAAGGGTTTCAGTAGTTCAGGGTGGAAACAGAAAGCATCATCTGGTTAATCTTTAAGTTATTTCCTTAAACACATCTGCCATATCACCAGTGCTCTGGATCATTCATGTGGTTTTTGCTTCTTTTGGCAGCCTGGCACTGTGGGCAGGAGGGATGGGTGTGAGCCTGCCCTGCCCTCTTTGTCCCACTGGGACAATTTTTCTTTTATTTGCTGAGTCACTGAAGCAACAAAGCATGAGTAGAGACACTCGGCTCTGGAGTTGGGCCTACCTGAGTTCCAAACCCTGTTCTGCCCGCTCCCAGCTGTGCCATCTTGGACAAGTTGCTTCACCTCCCTGACTCATGTCGTTTTCTACACAGAGTTAATAACAGTGTGTTTCCCAGAAGGCCATTTAAGGATGTAATGAGATATGTCTCGGCTAGCACTGTCCTGGGCACCCGTTTGTTGCCCAGTAAGTGGGAAGTGGTCCAAGTTCTGCAACTGCAAAGGGCCAAGTGTCTCCTGTCCACCTCCACTTGGCAGCAGCACAGTCTGCAGTGTGACCCAGACTTCTCACAGCTGTCTCCACCTAGCACATCCCAAACCAGGGGCTCCTGCTTGGATGGTGGAGGACAAAAAGGCCCCTCTTCTCCAGCCAGCACGCAGGCTTGCTCCCAGTGAGTGGGTGGATTTTTCACTCCCAGAGGCTGTGCAGTTCACAGACTGGGTGTCACCCCCATGTCTAGACAGTCAGGAAATCCCCATGGTTGTTCCCTCAGCCCACCAGGGCTGCTCAGCCTGACTCCTTACCCCCACATCCCTCCATCAGCACAGCCCCTGCAGGTACATCTGGGATTTAGCCCCTCTCCGCTGGTGCTGAGGCTGAGCTGCATCTCCTCATTCTCGACTGTGACAGTTGTCTCCTTACTCACCTGCCCCACCTTCATCCACAGGTGTGTGTGCATGCACACACACACACACACACACACACACACTCACTGTCTCCTCTCACCACAGTAGCAGTCAGACTGAAAACCTGAGTGGGACCAGGTACTCCGCTCAGAGCCCAAGCTGGTCCTCACAGGGCTCTGCCAGGCCCTCCCTGGCCCTGTGACTGCTCCTGCCTCCTCAGCTCTCCCTCTCACCCGTTGCTGTCCCGGGCCTCCGCCCCACTGCCCTCTGCCTGCAAACACCTGCATCTTCCTCTTGCCTCCTCACACATTGCCACCTCTGGACCTTCCTGGTTGTCCTTGTCCCTGTTGCCCAGCACTGTCATTGGTTATTGCCTTGGCTTGCCATCCTCACCAGCATGTGTATCAAATGAGGATAAGGACTTTTGTCCCCCCACCCCATCTCCAGGGCAGCCATGGAGAACAGTGCCTGGCACTTGGTTCTCTCAGCAAATATTTGTTAAGAGATTAGCGAGTGATCGTGGGCCAGCACGCTAACAGTGTCTTCATTATTACAAAATCATCTCAAATTGAAATTTGGCTGCCACACGCAGTTTGTGGTGGAAATTTACTCAAATTACCAACCCTTTCACCACAGACCTGGCACTGGGTTGCTTTAAAACTTGGGGGTAGTGGGACACAAGGTGCCCCCAGTGCTGCTCAGCCCTGTGTGGCTGTTGTCACCCCACAGCCCCCTTTCACTCAGGTGGTGCAGCCCCACCCTGGCAGCAGCTGTCAGCATCCCCTCCTGTGGGCTCCATCTCCATAGGGAAATCACTGTCCTTTGCTTTCTCCATCTCATCTCCCTGAGCAACCCCAAATTCTGTTATTCATCACCGCTGACGTAACTTCCTCATTATCCTAGTCCAAGCTTTCCCTAAAGGATATTTCTCTCTCTCTCTCTGTCTGTCTCTCTTAGTAAAACAAAAGGGTTGGGTTGACTAATTCCATTCACCTTTCAAATTGTTAGGAGTCCGGCAGAGCTTCCTGCTGCAGAACGCTGGCCTCAGGGGTGTCCTTCAGCCCTCTCCCCAACTCCTCTCCCCAACCTGCCTTGCCAGCTCTTCAGTTTTAAGTTCCTCATGCCCCCTGTGGACCCCCTGTCCTCACCATCTGTGAGCTGCTTCCTCCCTAAGTTTCAAGTCTGGATTTGCATCTTTGGCACCAACTCTCCCACAGCCTCCTGCCTCTCCTTTTTAACCAGTATGGGGGCGTCCATTTAGTGACCATGGTTGGCTAAACATGCCAAGCGCTTTTCATCATTCATCTTCCCAACAACCCATGGAGGGAAAGGTAATTGCAGCTCCTAGAGAGTCACCTGACTTGCCCAGGACACATAGCCATTAAGTGGCAGAGCTCGGATTGGAACCCAGCTGGGATTGCACTGCTCACCACCCCATCCCACTGCTCCTCATGTACCCAGAGTCCTCGAATTCTTTTGTCCATATTGCCCCCTGCTGTTCCTGATCTGGGGGGGAGAATCCACTAGTCCGAGGTGCCAGGAAGGCTACACCCCTAGGCATCCAACCCTGGATCTGCACCTGGGCCCGACCTCACCTGAGGCCTTACTGCTTGGCAGTGCCCTCCTACACTTCTTCCTGGTCTGTTCTCAGGGCCTGTCCCCTCTTTATAATTGACCTACAGGTGAATGCCTTGCCAGACGAGACCCTTCAGTATTCCTTTTCTCCACTGCTGAATAGTTTTCCTACTTTCCCCATGTTCTCCAAGGTGTGTGCCTTTCTTCCAAGTCTTGACCCTCCTTGGTCCACCCACTGCTGCCCACCCTAGCTTATCCGCAGCTCCCACCCAGAAACAGAGCACACTTCAGGGGCCTTCCTAACCTGCTCTCTCTCACACCAGCATCTCCCCTTTGCCACTAAACAACAGCAGTGCATTCTTCTGTTTCCTTTAGAACAAGATACTGGTGTTTTTCAGAATTTTCTTCAACTTGAGGCAATAAGTTTTTGGTGAAAAGATTGCTCTTCCCAGAGTCTTTAGGACCAGGTTGTCTTTTCTTACTCTAGCATTTAAAAGCAAAAACAAACAAAAAACAATAAACAGAAAACAGAGTCAGGCTTATGTGTCTTCAATTAACAGGTCCTAGAGTATGACATGTCAATCCTTTTTGGTGTTGAACAGGTTTGTTCCTGTGCACTCTTTGGATGCAGGGGCATGACGAAGCTGAGGGTCAGGAAAAGAGTTTTTGCCTTGTGTGGGCTCCTTCCCACTAAGGTGGCAGGGCAGAAGGAATATGGCAGAGAACTCAACCATCCAGCCAAGTCCTGTAGCCCCAAATGCAATCATTTGTCTGATGTGATACAGAAATGTGTACGTCTCCTCATGCCAGGCCCTGGGCTGGGCGCCAGGGTGCAGAAGAGAGTGAGGCCTGACCCCTGCTCAGGGAGGGGCTACACCTGGGATCTGTCTTTGTAGCTTCAGATCCATTGTCATCCTCCAGGTAATGCAGACAAACCCCAGGGCCCAAGCTGGAGGGAAGACTCTTAGAGAAGAGCCCTGATTCCAGATGCCTGGGGAACAGGCTGAGTGTATAAGGTGCTGAGAGGCAGGGGTGACACCTGACCCAAGAGCATGCATGGGGCAGAGACTCTTCAGAGAAAAGTGGAACAGGAACCTCAGAGCTTGGGCTGTTTCAGAGGAGCCAGTAAAGACATCAGCAGGGAAAGGGAGGCAGGGTCCCAGAAGAGAAGACCTTTAATCCTGAATGGCTTTGCAGAGCTGAGTTCCTCTCAGTGTGCCACATTGATCCCTTGGCCGTTAGATCAAAAAATGTGTGTATGTGTATACTTGGGGAATGAGAAACTTGATTGTCTCTGAATGTCATACTCCATAGTCATCTTTAAAGGTCCAAGAAGCCCTGCAGAAAAGGAACCTGACTATTTAATCCAGTTTTCTCCATATTTAGAAGGCCTCTGCTTCCTCCCCACCCACATATCATTAATTCCCATGGAATTAGTGTTCCAAGGAAGACCTTTGGTAAGCGTTGGTTTGAAGAAGTTTGAAATCCCTAGAATTTTGATGGAAGTCATACCACATAATGGAAAAGTATGGTTTTAATTAAAACCTGGGCTTAAATCCTCAAAAATCCTAGAAAATCATCAGTTTTGGTAAAGTTACTTACCTTCTGGGGCTTAGTTTCCTCATCAGTAAAACAGGAGTGATAACATTAGCTATCTTATAAAGCTATTGTGATGGTTAATGAGAGAATCGTAACAGTTCCCACTTACGAGAGGGCTTCTCGTAGACTAGACACCGTGCTAAACACTGTTATATCTCTCTGTTCACATCACTCGGGGCAGGTAATGTTATCATACTTAATGTACAGGTCAGAGGCTGGGTGTTGTGCCCAATGTCACACTGCTGGTACATATTGGACCTAAGAGTTGAATGCCAGGTGAAGTCAGGATTTGAAACCCAACCATCATCTCCCATCAACACGCCCTCAACCACTGTTGGCTGGAACATACAAGCACTAAGTAGTATCATTGCTTGTTTTAGGATGGTTCCTGGGTGTTTTGCGGGGGCAGGGAGGGAAGGGTTGGTGGTTCCTGAGACTCCATGTCACTCTGAAGTCCTTTTCCTCAAACCTGTGAAAAGAGTCATCTCCTTGATTTGATGTCCACACAGTTGCTTCCATTGGGACCATTGTGTTTGTTCTGCCTTCAGTTTGGGCAGCTGCTTAGCTGTCAGTTGAATGGTGACCACTCCCACTTGTACCATCAGTGCGTCTATATCCAGGACCAAGAGTCCTCCCAGAATTCCAGTGGGACCATAGCTTCTTCTCACTCCTGTACTTCCATGAGAGATGTGGAAAGGTTAAGAAGACATTTCTTTTCTCATTCAGCAAACACCGCTGGAGTTCCTTGCTGGGCTGGGTGCATGTCCTTGGGGAACTTACAGCCTAGCCTATTTCATGATTCGTCATTAGACCTCCGAGTCCCTCTATCTACCCTCTGTGACTGAGGCCGGAACTCTATGGCCTTTCCTCCATCA